AACTGTACTAAAAGCTAACTCAAATGTCAAAGATTACAGCTTGAATAAATTTAAATATAAAAGCCATGTGCTTCTTGAGTTAATGAGAGAGACATAAAAGGACAAACTGGGCCAGGAGGCTGAACAGAGCCTTACGCTGCCTTTGCTGGGCAATGGGTTCAATGCACAGCAGCAACTATAGTCAGAGGCATCCCTTCATGGCTCTGAGCCCTGAGAAAGAGCTGGTGAATCCCATTGCTTTTCTAGTCTACACTTGCTATTTTGAAAAATTAAGATAGATTTCATATGCCATAAAATTCATCCTTCTAAAGTATACACTTCTACAGTTTTTAGTATATTCACAAAGATGTACAACCATCACCACGATCTAATTCCAGAACATTTTCATCACCCCTAAAAGAAACCCTATTACCATTAGCAGTTACTTCCCATGCCCACTTCCAGCTCCTAGCAACCACACACCCGTTTTAACTCCTTCAGAATAACCTCTTAAAGGATTCTTAAGAGAACTGAAAGACTAATAAGGGGCAGCAGTCAAGTCTCACTGGTGGTAAGCTATGGCTTTATCCAAAGTACCAATATGCAAACTTTGCTCTTAGGCACTTCATACATTCCAAGTGCAACCCTCTCTTTAGATTTGGTATTAGAACATTCTATTACTCTAGATATTACAGAGCATTCAGTTATCATGCATTTTGGGCAAATACTGACTGCAAATGTGGTCCAGAGACACACCTGTGAGAATAACTGACATGGACTTAGCCAACCCTTACTAGAGGCAGTAGACTTACTTCCTTTACAATGCTCAGACAATGTTCCTGAAGGAGCAGGGAGCACTTATACCCTTAAAAGATTTTCTGACTGCTTACAAGAAAAGAGGAATGGAGAAGGAAATGGCAACCCACTCCAGTACTCTTGCCTGGAAAATTCCATGGACTGAGGAGCCTGGTAGGCTCCATGGGGTTGCAGAATCGGACACGACTGAGTGGAAAAAAAAAAGAAAAGAGGAAAAATTGCTTTGGTTGACTGACAATGTCCAATGAATCACCTATTTCCATTAACAATATTCTCAACCAACCCAGCCAGCAGATAGTCTAGAAAAGTGCAAATAAAAAGCCTTTGTAAAAAGAGACCAAGCCCAAGTCAGTTTCATGAGTTAAACTAAATGGAGTCTTGGAATTCCTATCATAGTTCTTCCAATCTAAGTGGTACACCATTCCCAGTCACATAGCAATGGCAGTCCCTTCAGTTTCTCTCTCCAAGTTCAAAACCCTTTCCCAGCCTCCAAGCATTAACAGGCTTCCAAGAAAGCAATCCTCCTGACACTGCCAATCAGAAAAAATCTGTTTGTTTTAGTAAAAGAAACAAGAAATTGGTCATGGATTACAAAGTCCAGGACCACAGGAGCAGCTGACCCATAAACCTGCTCCTGGAAGCCAGCACTATGTGGGGGGTCAGAACCAATCAGAAGACCATGAAATGCTCTATTTTGGATCCACTCTGTCATTTATCAGGTAGGTAATACGCTAAAACCCAAGAACAATGGGGCAACTTAGACAGGCACTGTTTTCAATACCTGCTACAGCTACTGGCCCCTGGAAAATATCATCACCTTCTTCCTCACTCTGAGGGAAAGCTTGGCCAACACCCAGCTAGGTTCCCAGTATCACTGACAGAACTGGTTCCTCGGCACATTCTGGTTTTAATAGTTTCAAGTAGAAGATAATCTGGATTCCTAACCCAAAGATGTAAGAAAATTAGGTAGCAGACTCAAGTTTGGTAACTCTCAGATGAACTAGAAACCAAATCCTGGACTGTACTACTCACCACAGATACAATCTCTGAACTGAAGTCTTGGGATATGTCAGAATGGAGAAAACAAGTGTGGGATATAGATTGGATGGCAAGTAGGAAACGTGGCTTTATCAGGAGAGCAGCACCACCTCAGCTCCTCAGGGTCTGCAAAGTGCCCAAAAGGCCTACAAGGCAACTCCAGTCTGACCTCAGCCATTTTAGGGTATACCCAGCCACTTATGACAACAATTCTCAGCTGTATGTAAAATGCTTGCCAAACATTTTCCAAATGTATTCTCTGAAAAAGATAACACTCCAAACTTTGACCCACGAAAAAGAATTGTAAATATCTACTGACTATTTTTCTTTGTAATTGGGATATGTAAGTTTTACATGAAAAGTTAAAAAAAAAAATCTGGCAGCAATATGGATGCAACTAGAGATTATCATACTAAGTGAAGTAAGTCAGAAAGACAAACACCATATGATATCACTTGTATGTAGAGTATAAAACATGACACAAATGAACCTACCTACAAAGCAGAAACACTCACAGAGAGAACAGACTTGTGGCTACAGGGGAGAGGAGGATGGACTGGGAAGTTTGGGGTTAGTGTGTGCTGCGTGCATGCTAAGTAACTTCAGTCGTGTCCAACTCTTTGCAACTCTATGGACTGTAGTCCACCAGGCTCCTCTGCCCATGGGATTCTCCAGGCAAGAATACTAGAGTGGGATGCCACGCCCTCCACCAAGGGATCTTTCCCACCCAGGGATTGAACCCTCATCTCTTGCATCTCCTGCGTTGGCAGGTGGGTTCTTTACCACTAGCGCCACCTGGGAAAATGCGAATTACTATGTATAGGATGGCAGGTCCTACTATATAGCACAGGAAACTATAATCAGTATCCCAGGATAAACCATAATGGAAAAGAATGCATATATGTATAACTAAATCACTTTGCTGTACAGCAGAAATTAACACAACACTGTAAATCAACTATACTTCAATTAAAAAAAAAATCTGCACAAGCCACCAACTTTCTAAAGCAGCTAAATCACTTTCAGTACAGGCCATAAAATGAGAACATACCTAGTTGCAGCACTAGCCCTGCTAACTAGCTATCAGACACCTCTTCCCCTATATTTGATCATTGGCTAACATTGCGAACACTTTTCACATTGAGTCAAATTTGCTCCTTTAAAGAAACATGTAGAAAATCCTTAAGACTCCCTAGGATTAGGGTTAGGAAAGTAAAAGGAATTTTTCTCCAGATAATTCTCCTACATTTCTCATAAAAGGAGAACATTTACTTATTTATTTATTTAATCTGCAGAAGCCTAAAAGCTATTTCAATCACGGTGTTAGATATGTTACTAGCTAAAAACATTCCAGGGATATACAACTGCAAAAGCCCTTTATGGTCAACAGAGGAGCACAGCTCTGAGGCTTTCCCTCTATGTCTGTATCTTCCCTCCAGGCTTGAAAAATAGGAAGTGTTGAGCCTTTACTTCCTCCCTTGACATGTTTTTAAACGTAATATAAAGCATTTGCTGTGTACATTCTCCTCTAACTGTATGAACAGAAGCAACACAGAACAGGGCACTAAATCTGGTGTTAGGGGCCTTAATTCTAGTTTTGAGTTCTGACTCCACTTCTTAGGATCAGTGTGATCTCAGCTAAATCACTTAAAATATCTCTGGGCTTCAATTTCATTCATAAAAGGGGGACAAATCTGCCATGCCTCCCTCACAGGTTGTGTAAAAGTTTCAAAAAGGTATGGTAACTAGGCTTACCATGGTGAACATTTTGAAATGTACAGAAACATCAAATCACAATGTTGTATAGCAAGAATATGGTACTACAGGTCCATTCTATTTCAAAAGCAAACAAATGAACTCACAGAAAAAAAGATCAGATTTGTGGTTACCAGAGGCAGGGGGTGGGGGAAGGAGGAACTAGATGAAAGCAGCCAAAAGACACAATCTTCTAGTTATACGATAAATAAGTATTAGGGCTATAATGTACAACACAATGGGCTTCCCAGGTGACCCAGTGGTAAAGAATCCACCTGCCAATGCAGGAGACGCAGGAGACATGGGTCTAATCCCTGGGTCAGGAAGATCCCCTCAAGGAGGAAATGGTAACCAGTATTCTTCATTCCAGTATTCTTGCTTGAAAAATCCCATGGACAAAAGAGCCTGGCAAGCCACAGTTTATGGGGTCACAGAGTCAGACATAACTGAGCGACTGAGCATGCATGTACACATATACAACATGATAAATGTAATTAACACTGCTGTATGTTACACATGGAAGTTGTTAAGAGACTAAATCCTAAGAGTTCTCAACGGGAAAAAAATTTTTTTTTCTGTTTCTTTAATTTTTTATCTGTGAGATGACAGATGTTCACTAAACTTACTGTGGTAATCATTTCATAATGTATGTAATTCAAAGTACTATGTACATTTTAAACTTATACAGTGCTATATGTCAATTACATCTCAATTAAACTAAAAGAAAAAAGAATGAAGTTCCTGATCTGAACTATAAATAAAAGTGAAAAAAATTCAATAAGGTAATAAATGTGAAAGTGGCTTTGAAAATTCTAAACATATAAATATTACATAAGATAATTATGATTAGGAAAACAAAGGCAGAGTGTGTGACACAAAAGATTCTGGGAACAAGTGAAGACTAAAAGAGCTGCATTACAGAAAGCTCAGGTCCTAAAAACCAGTAAGGATTTTCTGTAAGAGAAAGGTTACACTGCAAGTATTAAACACTTCACTTGTGCCATCAATTTCCTATCTGATGGCATACGTGAGTTAGAGAAAGAAAAATAGCCAAAACAAAACAGAACATTAGCCAAAAATAACACTTATAACTCAGGCAAAGAAGGAAGCTTATAATTGTATGAACGCTGATTCCCCATTAAAGTAGGACACTCTAAGAGCTCCAGGAAGGATCAGCAGTAAAATAAACCAGAGCAAACTACACCTGTGGGCCAAAACTGGCTTGCAGCCTGTTTTTTTAAAAGAAAATTTTATTTATTATTCATTTAAGTATTATCTGAGTCTGCATTTGGGTTACAATAACAGAGTTGAGTAGCTGCAGTTGCTACAGCCTGCAAAGCCTAAAATATCATGTAGTCTTATACTATAAAGAAAAAGTTTGTCCATCCTTGCAATAAATCAAACATACTTACCTGTTACGTTGTTTAAAATCTCCTTTAGATGACTGAAACTATGCAGCAGAGGATCCCGTTCTTCATCCTATAACACACAGATTAAAAAAAAAAAAAAAGAATTATCAGACCAAGAGTAAAAAGGAAATAAAAGATAGATCAAGAGCTCTTTCTCTGAATCCAACCAGAAAATTCAGTCAGTTTTCCTTCTGAGGAAAAGAAAGTTAGCCGTGGTTCATTTTTCCAGTTCCCTAATCTCTTATCTCATAGAAGTACTCTAGGCTTACCTAAAATAGTACATCCTGAAGTACTAATCTTAATCTACACCAAGACCATGGCATTCAAGTTACCACAGACTGCTAGGTCTTCTGTATGTGCTATGGTCTGAATGATCATCACTCCTCAAAACTTCTGTGCTGGGACTTCCTGGTGGTCCAGTGGTTAAAACTCCATGCTTCCACTGCAAGGGGACACAGGTTTGATTCCTCATCAGAGAACTAAGATCCCACACGCCAAGAGTGTTTCCTTGCCCCTTCTACCATGTGAGGATACAATGAGAAGTCTGAGACCCAGAAGTACCTCACCCAAGCATGCTAATGCTCTGATTTTGAACTTTCAGCCCCTAGAAATTAATACGTTGTTTTAAAAAAAAAGAAAAAAAAATCTGTTCTTTATAGGCTACCCAGCCCATGGTATTGTGTTAGAGCATCCCAAACAGACTGAAACATACAGACTGAGACATGTGTTACTCTGTCTCTTCTCTTATCATAGTCATATACATTCATTCCTGACTCCATTCTTACTTATAAAACAGTTCATTTTTATTAATGAAAGTGAGAAATTTCTAAACAAACATATACATATTCACCAAGCTAGAAATGTCTAAACTTTAATTTTACAATTGTACTCAAAACTGTTTTATACAACTGTAACAAAAACATCACTGAACATACATATGCAACAAAGTCACCTTTACAACAGTTAAGCTTACTCATCTGATTAGCAAGATATGGTATCCTCTATATTTGAAAGCTTGCTGAATTTCCAAGGAGTACTATTACAAAGCCATATTCCATGTGCCAATAACTATACTAACTGAAATGAATTTGATAGCTAATTATAGTTCTCAGGAATCAGAAGATAAGGAACTATATCACAATTTTTTTCCAATATTTGAATAAATTCTTAGAAGTAAAATTTCTGGTTCAAAAATTAAACAAACAAAAAAGAAGATAAGAAATCTTTCTGACATGTTTAGGCATATTAAAGAGGTCCCAAGTACTAGCTTAAGCTGCTTATAAAAACAGCTAGAAGAAAAATGGTATCATCTTCTGGGTTCTAGAGGAAAAAAGACAGTTTATAAATTTGACTCTTATTGAAATACAACAAAAGGGTCCTTTATACCCTTCTGAAAAACTCTGAATTGCTCCTATTATCATTATTACCAGGAAACTGACCACGTATCAGATCCCCTACAACAACTCAGTAACCAAGTGTTCTGCCCATCCCCCACTTACCAGTGGTGTATGGGTGCTCCATCGGGCATTCCGTTTGATGGCCCCAACCACAATGTTAATTTCCCCTTGAATGATGTAAATATTTTTATCCACCATCCTGGCAAACCTACTGAAACAGTTAAGAGAAAAGTTAGTTAATATTTGGTTATCCAAGAGCATCCCCATGCTTGAATCAGTACCTGATAAGGTTAGAACTATGATTTAGCTTTTTAGTACCAAGATTCCCCACCTGTAATACTAAAATGTGATAATGTCCTTATGTTATGAATTCAATTACCTGGCTCTTCCAGAGGTCTCTGAAAGTTCAAGATACAACTCAAAAAACATCACACCAGAAAATTTCTCAAAGGCACCTCAACAATCTCTAACAAACATTCAAATTTTTCAAAGTCAACTGTCCTCCAAATCTACCCTACAAAGCATGAAGACAAGAAGATACACTGGTGTGCCTAGCTTGTTAAAGAAATATTTCAGATCTTCCTATTGTTCTTTTACTTTATCAACCCAATCAATACTGAAAGTTTAAGTTAAAAGAAAAGAATGAAGGCTGTTAGAAAAATAGCCTTAGTTTGGAACCACAGTTACAATACCAATTTTTAGACTGCATTTATTCTGCCAAGTCAGCTCCAGAAAATTGGACAGTGGCAGTGATATAAGCTTTGAAAAGTTCTGAAAAGTCAAGTTCACTTGCTTATAGCAGCGAATCTCTAATAAGTAAACTAAAAGGTAGACTCTTCTTGGCATAGAGAAAACCTTAATAGGAGCTTATAAATCAACCTAATCACCTCCCATTATTTAGAAAGAAACCCTCCTCAAAATAGATAAAATTTTAAAAAGCAAAAGGGATAAAAGAAGGGAAGGGGAGACAAACAGTTATACAGACATTTAGATCAGGCTCAAGGAAAATTAAAACACTAAGGCTACACACGTACCCCAATGCAGCACTATTCACTGCAACACTTTTTACAATAGCTAGGACACGGAAGCAACCTGTATGTCCCTCAATAGATGAGCGGATAAAGAAGTAGTGGTACATATATACAATGGAATCTTACTCAGCAATAAAAAAGGGATGCATCTGAGTCAATTCTAATGAGGTGGATAAACCTAGAATCTATTATACAGAGTGAAGTAAGTCAGAAAAAGAAAGACAAATATTGTATATTAACAATATATATGGCATCTATAAAGATGGTACTGATGATCCTACTCACAGTGCAGTAAAGATGCAGACATATGATCACTGTAGGAGAGGGAGAGGGTGGGATGACTTGAGAGAGTAGTATTGAAACATATACATTACCATGTGTAAAATAGATAAGTCAGTGGGAATTTGCTGCATGACACAAGAAACCCAAAGCTGGTGCTCTGTGACAACCCAGAGGCATGGGATGGGGAGGGAGGTTTAAGAGGGAGGGGACATGGGGGACCTGTGTATGCCTGTGGCTGATTCACGTTGATGTATGGCAGAAACCATCACAACAGTGTAAAGTAATTATCCTCCAATTAAAAATAAAATAAAAAACAGTGAGGTTAACAGAGTAAGTGAAGCAATTTCAGAAATATTTACCTAATGAGCACCTACCATGCATAAGGCATCTTTCGGAATGCTAAGGATATAGGGCAAAAGACATGGAAAGAGCTTCAGACATAGTGTGAAATGAAAAAAAAAACATATACTGTAGTATATGGCTATATGTTACCAGTTATGTAAAAACTAACCCTACATAAAATACTAGATTTTTGTTTTTAAAAATATGCAATATTTAACATAAAGTAAGATATAAAGCTGTTGGATTGCAAGGAGATCAAACCAGTCAATCCGAAAGGAAATCAACCCTGACTATTCACTGGAAGGACTGATGCTGAAGCTGAAGCTCCAATATTTTGGCCACCTAATGTGACGAGCTTACTCATTAGAAAAGACCCTGAAAAGACTCCTTTTCAGGACTCTTAGGAAACACTCCTGCTGGGAAAGACTGAAGGCTGGAGAAGGGAATGACAGAGGATGAGATGGTTGGATGGTATCACAAATTCAATGGATATGAGTTTGAGCAAGCTCTGGGAGATGGTGAAGACTGGAAAGTCTGGCATGCTGCAGTCCATGGGGTCGCAAAGAGTCAGGCATGATTGAGCAACTGAACAACAGCAACAAAGATATAAAGGGGCTTCCCTGGTGGCTTAGTTGGTAAAGAATCTGCCTTCATTTCAGGAGACCTAGGTTAGATCCCTGGGATGGGAAGATCCTCCTGGAGAAGGGAATGGCAACCCACTCCAGTAATCTTGCCTGGAGAATTCCATGGACATAGGAGTCTGACGGGCCACAATTAATGGGGTTGGGTGCAAACAGCCAGACATGACTGAGTGACTAGCACTTTCTTTCACTTTCAAGATATAAAGAGTGATATAATAAGCCAGTATCCAGATTAAGAACAGTACAACTGATGTCTCTGTGTGTCCTTCCTAATTACGTCCTTGTCTCTTTCATCCATAGTTCCTACTATTCTAAATCTGATGTTTATTAAAATTTTATGTTGCTTTGTACTTTACTTCATTGATATGTATCTTTAGACAGTATCATTCTGCCTATTTTTATACTTTGTATAATATCAGATTGTATGTATTCTTCTGCAATTTGTCTTTTTCCCTTGAAATACTCTATTTGTGAGTCATCTAATGTTGTTAAGTATACTTACAGGTATATAGAGAGATATGTAAACAATGAATAAAAGGTTTGAGTAGATGCACCGAAACTCAATAACCACAGTTATCTCTAGAGAAGGTATTATGAAATTAGGTTGTGATCAGAGGATACTTATAGCCTTATCTATGTTCTAATTTTTTACAAGAACATATTACTATACTATCACTATAATTTAAAATTAATAATTATGAAAGAAATGAGATATAATTTCTGCCCTTGAGGCATTTATAGAGTTCAGCAGGATCTAAAAGAAAACTGAGTCAGAGACACGGGGTGGGGGGAAGCACGCTGCAAGTAGCTCTGTTTGCATATTTTGCATAAAGAAAGTGAGAAGCATGAAAACTACCACGACAAAGGAAAAGAGTACATATTTGGTTCAGGCCCATAACACCTCTCTCAATCCACAGGGGATTCCAACAAAAGATAGTATCTATTGTTTAAAGTTGTTTTTTTTTTTTGGCCTCACCATGTAGCATGTGGGATCTTCCCCAACCAGGGATTGAAATGATGCCCCCTGCATTGGGAGCACAGAATTTTAACCACTGGACCATCAGGGAAGTCCCAGCATTTATTTTAATAACAATTTAAAGAAACAACTAGGTTAGTCTCAGAAGACTAAATGCTCTAGGCACAAAATAATATTCTCTTCAATGGATGGAGAAGATTCAATGATGAGAACACATAATGATGAAGAGGAAGAGAATCAAGAAGTAGAAGAAAAATAAATTTAAAAATAATTTAAAGTATCAGAAAAGATAAAATCTCTAGTATCTCTTCTTCCTTAAATTATTTAGGCAAGATGAATATGTTCTAGATCTCTGGAAAGATTTTTAAGACACTCTTAGCATAGTGGTGAGTATCCCCACCTGTCATTTGGGAGACCAGGGTTCGATTCCCCAGAGGGGAGGAGTGTTAGACACTGGGTTTCCCAGGCGGCACTAGAAGTAAAGAACCCCTCTGCCAAAGCAGGAGACCTAAGAGACACAGGTTCAATTCCTGGATCGGGAAGATCCCCTGGAAGAGGGCATGGCAACCCACTCTGGTAATCTTGCCTGGAGAATCTCATTAACAGAGGAGCCTGGAGGGCTACAGTTCAAAGGATCGTAGAGAATCAAACATGACTGAGGCAACTTGACACAGCACACAACAGAGGTTGCCACTGGAGAACGGAACTCCCAATTCCTTCCTTTCACAGTGGAAAGAGGAAGACTTACTTTTCTTTGTATATTCTTTTATACTTTTTGAATTTTGTGTCACATACATATATTATCTATTTTTAAATTTTAACTAATGGATTTTTAAAAATGAGAAGGCTCTTTAGAAAAATACTTGTATTACTTCATGTGTAAATGATTAAGAACAGCAATCAAAGTTAATTAACTAATAAACATTCACCTCAGTCAACCAGATATTACTTAGCACATGCTAAGCAAAATGCCAGACAGAGTCATACCGAATTATCCCTATCCACCCACAATGAATTTATAATCTAATAAATTAAACACATACATCTATACACAACCCATACATATCCCAATACATGAGTGGTACGCAGTGTCACAGCATTGAAGTAGAAAAAATATTCCTGTCAGAGAACACTGGAAAAGCAAACGAAAAACAGGATTCAAACAGCCAAAAATACAAGAGAATGGCAAGAGTAAAAGCTTACTGGTGGGAAAATTCAGTATGTATTTAGAGGATCAGGATTATTCCAGACTTGTTGGAACATTATTCCTAGGAGAATAATAGCAGGTAAAGCTACAAAAGCAAGTGGGGGGCCTGGAGGGCTTTCAATATATGTAACATATATGCTAACTACAATCGTTGTAAAAAATATTTGGGGGGGCCTGGAGAGGACCACTATAAAATAAGAATATTTAATTTCTCTTTTTTTTTGGTTGTGCTCCAAGGCATGTGGGATCTTAGCTCCCCAATCCAGGATTGAACACAGGTCCCCTGCCCGTGATTCCCCTGTAGAGGAAGCTCAGGGTCTTAACCACTGGACTGCCAGGGAAGTACTTTTAATTTCTCTTTTGAAGAACTAAGAGGACTTCCCTGATGGTTCAGTGGTAAGAATCAGTTGCCAGTGTAGGAGACATGGGTTGGATCCTTGATCCAGGAAGATCCAACGTGCCACAGAACAACTAAGCCCCTGGGCCACAACTATTGAGCCTGTGCTCTAGAGCCCAGGAACCGCACCTACTGAAGCCCAGCCACCCTAGAACCCATGCTCGGCAACAAGAGAAGCCACAGCAAAGAGAAGCCCACGTACTATAACTAGAGAAAAGCCCGTGAAGCTACGAAGACCCAGTATGACCAAAAGTAAATAAAAAAATTTTTTTACATAAAGAACTAAGAGCAAGAGAGAAAACACCCATACTGAGAACAATAC